TTTTGGTAAATAAATAATTGATTTAACAAAACTATCTAGAATTACTATTGAAGATATCTAAAAGAACAATCCTAACAAAACTAAGAATTAGTGCTCATAGTCTACATAATGAAATGGGGAGATACTCAAAGCCACCTAACGCGTATGTCAATTAATTTTGTAATTTTTTATTGAAAATGAAAATGAAAATCATTTTTGTACTTTATTGTCCTAGTTATGATCAATGTAGATTACAGTATTACGATATATTTAATGTTCAATGTTACATGAAGGAAACCCCTATTATTGACATTATCAACCCTACAAGTATTTAACTTTAATTTTGCATGAAAAAGTGTTTTGATATTAGGAAGGAAAACCTTCAACAAACCTAATATGCTTTCTTTGATATTTTATTTTATGTATGTTAATTGTTGTATTCGTGACTATATGCCAATGTATGATGGTGTTGTCAATAAATGAAATGAATATACATGTATATACTGTGAGAAGAATGTGTCATACTCATGAGCCCCCACCCGACCTCCAAAACATACTGTAGTATCTGTGCGACTGTCCCGTGGTACGACTTACTGTCTGTATTACGTCAGATGGCGGGATAGTCGCACTCCCTCTCTCTACACCTGGATGCCGAGCAGACCGGACGTGTCTGGGACAGCAGCAGAGCGGGAAGTCGACCCGGGCCAGAACCCACTGTGTTTGTATATATGTTGTTGAATAAATAGTTGTAAAGCACACCCCTAGACTGAATACTTTACTGGCGCCCAATTCGCGGGGCCCGGGATTCCCGTACTGCTGTCAGGTATTTGTAGGCATCGGTTTTAGCCGCCATTTTTGGTGCTGCTAGTTACGTGAGAGCACATGTTGATTTTTCATGTATTTTTCTTGAATCGACTTTCTGAATCAATTTGTTAATATTGGCAGTGATTTATTTGATTATCTGTGACATTTTATTATGGATATGTCTGTTGAGGAGGCCGTGTCGGCTTTAGGCCTGGACATGCGCCCGGCTATCAATAGTGTCATGCAGTCAGACAGATTTAACCCTCCTGTTCCGTGCAGTGTGTATGGTTATCCCGTGGCAGGGGGTTTTTCACCATATGTTTATAACGGGAGCGAACATATTGCATCCCGTCACACACCTTTTGCTCAGTCAATGTCAGGTCACATGGGAGGGGGGTTGCCCCTGGGGGGTCCCTCTACATCCACGCCCGGCCTACATTCGGGCATCCCCTATGGGGAGGGTAGTGTGTTACATGGTGTGTCAAGGAGAGAAGTAAGGTTTGCCCAGCCCCAATGTAGCTCACCAGGGATGATGACCAGTGATTCCCTGGAGTCCTCTTCATGTAGCCTGTGTTGGTGTGGCTCACCTGGCAGCACTGTGGGTTGTAGCCCACCTAGGTATGAATACAGTGAGGTTCCCTTGAGTTTAGGTTTAGAACATCGGTATTCTGTAGGTCATGTGCTCTCAGCTGGTAGCCAAACTGTCCTTGTGGGAGACACAGCTAACCTGGGGGATATAAGAGTTAGACCAAGCTTTGGTGAGGGTATACCCCACTCGCTTGACCCTGCCCCTCCAAAACATACACTGTTTGCCAATCAACAGCCTGTGAGGCCTGCACAGCTCACTTCTGAGTATGATCAGAGGCCTGTTGACCCTTCAAGGCTCACCTGGAACCCTTTGTCTGTACAAACCCAGCCTAGACCCGCGGACTTTAGTGTGTCCTCTCTTCCTGGGGATGATTTTCAACCCCGGACCTCAATGCCACACACTACCTTTGTCCGAGACTTGGTAAAAACTGGGGGTGGACATGCCCAACCCCTACTGCCTGATCACACCCAATCCCAATGGTACAGAGGTGAGGATGTTCAGACCTCACACCTACGTAGGACTATGCCCAGTGCATCACAGCATCATAGTGTCCCCATGTCATCGACTGGTAGTCCTGCCTATCAGGATACCCCTTTCTGCCATTTTGGAAGGGAGGGGGAGAGGATAGCCAAGCTGGGACACTATGCTAGTCAGCCTGTCCCGGCCCATCAGGATAGCAGCTTTAATACACCTGCACAGAAAACCAGTAGGGCAGCTGCTGGGAGTAAGTCTAAGTACAAGGACCTTAGGTATGATGGTAAAACCAGCTGGAAGGCATTTTTGCACAAGTTTGTGAGGTTGTCTCACAGTCAGCTGTGGACTAAGGGTAGCAGCTTGACCAGTTCTGTTTTTCCCTTGAAGGGGCAGCAAGCGAGTATTATACTCTGCTGTTAGAAACCAGTAGCCAGCTCCGCCTAGGTGAAATCTTGCAGAGATTTGAGAAGTGTTTTGGTTCCTCTGCCCCAGATCTCACTCATCAACTTAACTTTTAGTCTGCCAGCCAGAACCCTGGAGCGTCACTTCATCAGTGGGCCGACAGAGTCCTGACTTTGGCGACAGGAGCCTTCACCAGTGTGCCTGATGTGCACACCCACGCTATACCTCGGCTGTGCTATGGAGCTGAGGACAGAGATGCTGGTATTTACGCACTTGATGGGCATCCCCGGACAGTGGAGGAAGCCGTGGAGCGTATGCAATACTATCAGCACTCCCGGCGTCACAGGCCTAAGCCATCAAGGGAAGTGAGAAAGCTGGATTCTGCTCATGACATGAAGCAGACTGATCCCGGGAGAGTAAATGTTGTTGCTGTGGAGGAGCTCGCAGCCCTCCGGAGCAGAATAGAAAATTTAGAGGAGTTGATAAGGCAGAGGGAAGCTGCCCCCCTTCAGAAACGTCAGAGGAGTGGAACCCCGTCGGTGAGATGGACGGAGCGGGACCGGAAGCCTGCTGTATGTTTCAGGTGTGGAGAGGTGGGGCACTTCCGTAGAGATTGCCCCACCGGAGCTGCAGGGAAGATAGTGGCTACTGACGGGCACAGGGGCGGGACCAGTATTGAAGGATTCCCTGTGGAGACATTCCCTAGGTCGGATTCCAAGGAGTTGGGGAAGCGCCGCAGGCTGAAAGATCAATTTGGGATGCCACCATCACCGGAGCTTTGCTTGGCTGAGGAGGAAGTGGTCACCATGGAAGAGGAAGTGGGGACTCCCCACTCCACTCTGGAGCCGTTTGGACCAGCCATGGTTAGTGATGAACCCCAAGACCTGGGGAGGATGGACCCATGTGGTGTTGATCTAATGTCACCTGCAGGGATGGGTAATCCCTGGTCACCCGTGGCAGTGGGATTGAAGGAGCCCTCTATACCCACTGAGCGGTTAGGCGGATCTAAAGGTTTTATGGTTGGCCTGTGCGTGGAAGGCATGGAGGTTACAGCAGTAGTGGATACAGGGGCTGAGGTCAGCGTGTTGTCAACCAGGGTGTATGACCAGCTGGAGCCCAAACCCCCAATCCTGGATTATGTGACCATGAGACAGGCCGGAGAAAATGCCGAGTTAGAAGGGTTTATTGCGGGGCCTGTCACTGTGTGTATTGGCCAGCAGGAGCATGAGATGGAACTCTATGTCGCCCCATTGCAGGACTCAATGCTGCTAGGATTGGATTTTCTCCGTGCCCGGAAAGCCCAGCTGGACTTGGGGCAAGGGACCCTTACTCTGGGGGATGAGGCCATAAAGGTGGAGTTCAGGAGGTCTCGTGGTATTCCAGAGGAAGGAGTGACCTTGACAGGAGGCCCACTAGTTGAGGCAGACAGAAGTAAGTCTGTTCCCCGTATAGTGAGAGATTTTGGTATTGTGGCGCCTCTGACCCATCCTGGAAGTACACTGGGTATACCAGACCCGGTAGTAGAGATGTTTGGAGAGTCCCTCTTGGATTCTGCCATAGAGGATATCGGTGTTGAACCACTACCCTCAGGACCAGCCCAACCTTCTTTAAATGAGGCGGCCTATGGTCATGTTTCTTGGGGATTGCCGACTTGTGTGGGCAGGGGCCCAACCCTAGAGGTAGAGGACACCAAGGACCATGTGGCAGAAATGGGGACAGCCCTGTATGACTCAGGCAGTCCCAGGTCGTCCGATGATTCGACACCAGAGGAGAAAAGTACTTCTCGCTTGTACAGACCTACGCGGAGGCGTGGGCGACGCCGGAGGGCAAGTTTGCCCTCCATAGCCTGATGGTGTAAGTGGTGTCAGTTTCTGAGTTGTTAGTGGGCCTGGTGACCATGGCCCACTCGGTGAATGTTATATAGGAGTTGTAGGAGGTAATCTGGGAATCATCCCGTACTTACCACCTGGTAAATTTGTGTATACCCTTGTGGTGGTTTTGCCTGGAGCTTGCTCCGGCACTTGTTATTTTAGGGCAGTTTGCCCTGGAGGGCGTTTACAGCGCCCCGACGTTGGAGATGGTTCCGGACCCTCTTTCCTATGGTAGACTCCAGCCTTTCAGAGAAAACAGGGGGAGTGTAGTATCAGTGCGACTGTCCCGTGGTACGACTTACTGTCTGTATTACGTCAGATGGCGGGATAGTCGCACTCCCTCTCTCTACACCTGGATGCCGAGCAGACCGGACGTGTCTGGGACAGCAGCAGAGCGGGAAGTCGACCCGGGCCAGAACCCACTGTGTTTGTATATATGTTGTTGAATAAATAGTTGTAAAGCACACCCCTAGACTGAATACTTTAATACATTGCACACCCTACCTCATGTATCCCCTACTATCAATAATGTCGGAAAGATTTTTTATCATTCAATGCTATCATATAATTTTTTTTTTTCTTTAAACACTTTTTAACTAGATCTAGATTTAATTTTGTTTTACAAAAAGCAATAATTATAATGAATTCGCCATGACAGCAGATTCTGTTTTACATAGAAATGGGTCATTCACAGACGTTCATATCTTTTAATTGCTATAAAAAGTAAAGATCTTCCCAAATTATGCCCCATAAGTGTTCCATGCCATCAAAAAGCACTTTTTTGAAATGTTTGAATTTTTGACATTTAATGAAAGCTGAAAGAAAGAAAGAAAGAAGACTGACGATCGTATACAAAGGCCAGTCTACAGGAACTCTTTAATGCTGAAGTTACAAATGGTGTGTCCATGTGTTTATGTTGTTGTTCGACGCCGACTGTCACCCGATTGACAAGTGAAAAACTCATCTGTTCCTTGTTTTTCTAAACTGTCAGCAGTGTCAACAGATTTTAGTGTTGATTGGACGCACTGCTGTTGAAAATTTTACTTGGAGGCCGATAATATATGAAGATTAACCAGTCTGATCTGTTTTCCATGAAACTTTATCACCTCGAGGTATTGCATCAGACTTCATGTGGAATGGTGTACAGTTTTTAAAGTATTAGCTGTTTTAACTTTGATATGCCATTCTTTGCTCGGCAAGCCTCGCCCTCTATCATGTTTAAAAATTATCATTTTTATGAGAGATATATTTCATATCTATTGTTCAATGTTGGTAACTGTAATTAAGGGCTTAAAAAGTTGAAAACTAAAAAAAAAAAGTGAAGTGCAGCTGTGCTACTTATAAACTGATAAAGGCTAAGCCTTATGTAAAATGTAAAATCGTCAGTGTACTGCAACTATAACTTTTTCACGAAAATTAACATATGATCAATACTACAGGAAGAGAGTTTGCTGAATACCTTGAAATATCAGACATCTGTTCAGGTCAGCAATGAAGGTGTCAGAAGTGATGTACTGTAGCTTCCCGGTGTGGTATCCAAAATTTAAGCATATTTCAGTCAAGAGGTAAGAATTAATTAATTAGCCCTTTATTCATAACTGTCAAACTTCTTTTTTCTGCAGGGCAAATTGATAATGATTGGCAACATTTCTCATATGTCAAGATTTTTCAGAATTCTTTATAAATAATGCGTGTTCCTCTCTTGAAAATGATTAATCTATTATGATTTAAAATACATATTAAATGTATAATGTTGAAGCATACAGCAGTGTAGTCAGTGGATAAACTTTCACTTTTGAGGAATAAAATTGAAGACATTTTGCTTTACTTACAGCATTGTGATACCACTACCTGCAGAGTTTCTAGAATACTTACACACTGATGGAGTTGTGTTGCCAGAAGGGTAAATACTTGTTATTATGAAGACAGTCTGTAAGGTCTTATATACATTTAACTGTGTAATTAACAGTAAAACTTGGTCATAAGGAGGTCACTGGGACCTATGAAATTACTTCACTATATTTACATCCACTGAATATTTTCTCCTTTATTTCTTAAGAAACCCCATTGCGTTCATCACTGCATAAACTACAGTAGGCATGTCGCCTGTACAGATTTCTTAATCAGTGGCTGTTCCATCAATGAAACGTATAAAGACATTCGCATCATTAATACAATGATTAATCTTTTTAATCCTACCTTAATTGATTATTTAAACAGATATAAATATAAACAATAAAATGTCTTTCTTTGTTTGTTATTACTGGAATGAACGGTCGCAGCTATTGCAGAAAAATTTACATAACCCGCTTACGTGGGTTATGTATTTTTTCCGCAACAGCTGCTTCCGTTCATTCCAGTAATAACAAACAAAGAAAGCATTTTATTGTTTAAATATTTGTTAAATCCATGTAAGGAATTCTTTAAATTTATTTAGCTTAGGATCCAAGAAAACTTTGCTATATCAGTGAATTCCCAATGTCCGTGTTTGTACTAAACAAGTTTTACTGTACTAAGAATTATTAAAACTTACCCATGTGGAGCAGATAACTATTTTTTCATAAGAATTTTGAATTCTACAGTTTTAAAGGAGAGAATACTCTAACTGCAGTGTTTTCCCTAAGAACTGGCTACTGGGTTAATTAATCTCTTCAATTAATATGATAAACAAAAATGCCGCTTTAGAATAAAAAAAATCAAAATTTAATTGTTGTACATGGTAAGGTCCACAGAGATTTAAGTCCCCAACCTAGCTGTTACAACTGATCTCTAACCCTTTACTTTGAAATAAATGTAAAACACTGGCTAAGTTCTGGAACTTGATTGTCAGTTACCATGGTTTAATTTATAATGCATGTACATATTGAATTCAGAGTTGCTTTTTTTCTATGTTAAGGAGTCTGGTAACTTCAGGAGACAGGGACTCAGATGAAGACAGGGTTGGAGAAGAGGTACAACCTGAATTTTAAACAATTGAAAACAACAGCTTGTTTATAATGTTTATGTATCTAGGGGGTAAATGCAAATATAAAATAAGAGTTATCTCCCTTACAACATATTTTTATGCCTACAATCCAAACAAAATTTCTTTAGCTTTATTGGTAAATCTGCATTTTTTATATTTGATCAGAAACAAAACCACCTGTTATTTTTATCCAGCATAAAAGCCATATTCTCTTTTTATCATTTTTTAGAACAGAAACCATGATTATTAATAAATTATGAGGCTTTGCGTGTAAACAAAAATGTCAATATTCACAAGTTTTAACTGCATATATTCAAAATATGTGTAATGTAATTATGATGAAGATAACATGTACGTTACATGTTTACATTACAGTTAGATGTGAACTGGGATGATGATTCAGTGGAGGCAACTGTAAGTATATAGAGAAAAAATTAGGGCTGGGTATTGGCCAAAGAATTTGTATTACGATATATTGCGATATCTTTAACTGTATTGCGATATGTATTTCAATATTTTTAATGTTATTAAAATTGGATTTTCTTATCATATTAACTTTAATTTACACACAGAATGTACATAACTTTGATAAGTAAGTAAAAGAAAAAAATATTGTTGGTTTTATTAAATTTCTGCTTTGAAATACATCCATAAAACAGAAACAGTTCCTGTCTTACTGTTTGGCTTAATAACAAACCTTTCTTACATTTGTTCTTATATTTAATGATAAAATTCCTTAGTCAAAGCATTTTACTGGAATAACGATATTACACAAACATGTTTGCGATACGATATTGTTTTTTGTTGTATTGCAGTATACCGAAATATCGATATTTTTGTCCAGCTCAAAAAAAAAATTTTTTTATTCTTACAAGAAATACATTACAGATTATTGTTGTTATATTATTGTTATAATAATAATTGTTAATATAACTAATTATTCTATGATTAACCTTGTGAATAAATATATAGCTCTATAGTTAGTAAAGAGAAAAGCATTGTAAATGTAAATCTAATTTGCTAAATAAATTAAGAAAATTAAAATTATTTGATATAAAAATTTGGAATTCTGATTAAAGAAGCTTTTAAGTCATTCTATTTATGAATGAACATGAACGCATCAGTGAGATATTCTTTATCTTTCCCAATTTCCATTTAGAATTCATTCACTTACAGTTTTCTCCTTTTTGTGCAGGCACCAAGCTTTCCAGCTTTTGATGCAGCCATTAAGAAAGCCATTAAAATGCTGGGTGGTAAAGTGTTCCCAAAACTTAACTGGAGTTCACCCAAGGTAATTATGTTCCCCAAACGAAGTTGGGGAACATATTGTTTTTACTCTGTTTCTTATTATTATTATTCTTATTCTTATTATTTTTCTTCCTGGGAAAATTTTGTCCGCGAGTGATCTTGTAAACTACACATCCGACTTAGGTGAAACCTTTTTAGGGTAAGTAGGCATGTTATGTAGATTTGCGGAATCAAGGTCATTTTGCGCGCACGTGCTTGCAAGAGCGCGCACGTGCAAAACTTAAAATGACCAATATAATATGAATATAACCGTAACTTTTCTATTTTATGACGAAATGTTTTGAAACTTATAATGTAAGGATAAATTAGTAGTAAGCATAAGATGACATGGTCAAAATAGCAAGATCGCACGCGCATGCACGTGCGCTTCGCTCTGATTGGCTGAAACTAAAGTCTCAATATCTTTTTTGTTTTTTGATAAAATCATTTGAAATTTTGAACATAGTCATATATTAGGGAGATCTACAGCCTGTATTATAAGATTTATCATGAAAGCATGTGCATGCACATGTGCTTGCAAGAGCTCGCACGTGCAACACGAGAAATGTCCAATATAATTGATACAGACGTAACTATTTAAATTATTGATGAAATGCTTTGAAACTCATATTATAAGTATATATTAGAAGCATAAACAAAATGACATGGTCAAAAAAGTAAGATCTCACGCGCATGCACGTGCGCTTCGCTCTGATTGGCTGAAACTAAAGTCTCAATATCTTTCTTGTTTTTTGACGAAATCCTTTGAAATTTTAAACATAGGCATGTATTAGGATATCCTACAATAAGATGTATAGCAATTATCATGAAAACGCGTGCATGCACATGCGCTGCAATCTGATTGGCTTATGCTTTAAATAGCTTTAACTCCCTAGGTTTTCAACCAAACAGGATGGGATTTGGAACATAGATAGATATAATGGACTTCTACAAGATGGTATAGTCATCATGCACATGCATACACGTGCGTGTACGTGCACTGCAATCTGATTGGCTGAAACTTTAAACAGCTATAACTCCCTTGGTTTTCAACCAAACGGGGTGGGAATTAGAACATAGATAGATGTAGTGGACCTCTACAAGAAGGTATGCCATCATGCTCATATATGCACGTGCTTCTACGTGAAATGAGTAAAATCAAAAATACAGTTTAATGAGCGTATTTTTTTTTTTTATACTTTTGGATTAAATACTTTAATATTTAGTATATTAAAATATATAGATTGTATAGACAAGATGATATGGTCTTTACGCACATGCATTCACATGCGCACGCGTGGAATTCTAAAATTTGAATTAACTTGGTACTTTCTGGGTAAATGTTGTTAAAGCCTCAAATGCATAGAGTTTGTCTTATTTAATGAAGCTTACAGGGAATGTGGCACCAAAAGAAAGTTGGGGAGCGTTTGGGGAACATCTGTAACGGTCCCCGTTACAATTAGCACTAGTTATTCTTTTTTCTTCTTATTTCTTCTCCGGTACTTTTTTGTCCGGAAGTGTTCTCAGAAACTGTTCACCAAACTAAGTTAAAACCTTTTTAGGGTTAGTAGGCATGTTGTGTAGATGTGCCGAACGAAGGTCATTTTGCGCGCATTCGCATGCACGTGCGGGCGCGTGCAATGAGTAAAATGACTGATATATTTAATATGGTTGTAACTTTTATATTTTTTGATAAAATGTTTTGAAACTCATTATATAAAGATATATAAGTTGTGTAGATAAGATGACATGGTCAAATTTTCATGAACTCACGCGCATGCACGTGCGCTTTGCTCTGATTGGCTGAAACAGAAATCTCAATATCTTTTTTGTTTTATGATGAAATGCTTTGAAATTTCTAACATAGACATGCATTAGGATGTACTACAATATGATATATAAAATTTTTCATGAAATCACGCGCATGCGCGTGCGCTGCAATCTGATTGGCTGAAACTTTAAATGAGTATAACTCCCTTGGTTTTCAACCAAACAACATGGGATTTACAACATAGATAGACATAAAGGACTCCTACAGGATGGTATGGTCACCATTCACATGCATGCATGTGCGTGCACGTGCGCTTTGCTCTGATTGGCTGGCACAAAAATCTCAATATCTTTTCTGTTTTTTTATAAAATGCTTTGAAATTTAAAACATAAGCATACTTTAAGATGTCCTACAATATGATATATAATAATTGTCATTAAAATACGCGCATGTATGTGCGCTGCAATCTGATTGGCTTAAACTTTAAATGGCTATAACTCCCTTGTTTTTCAACCAAACAGGATGGGATTAAGAACATAGACAGACATAATGGACTCCTACAAGAAGGTATGGTCATCATGCACGTGCGTGCACGTGCAAATGAGTAAAATAGTGTAGACAAGATGATATGGTCATTACGCTCATGCAATCACATGCGCATGCCTGCATTGCTTAAATTTGAAATACTTGGTATACTTTTGGAAAAACGTTATTTACTTCTTAAATGCATAGATTTTGCCTTCTTTAATGAAACTTACAGCGAATATGGCACGAGAAGGGAGTTGGGGAGCGTTTGGGGAACATCTGTAACGGTTCCCGTTACAATTAGCACTAGTTATTTTCATGTCAATTCTGGTGATTCATTCAACTGTATATAATATTGTACTTCTTGTTAACCATGTTAACATTGAGTATGTTCACAATACGTTCTATTTCCACTATAGAAGAGTTATACCTCTTAGTGCGCTCTTTTGTGAAGAAGTCGGAAAATGTACAAATCTCGCAGGATTACTGGGAAACGTAACATAAACCTGTAAACAATATGTTGACTTTCGTTACACAAATCCTAACAAAATGAAAACGAAATATTTTATTGCTGTGGATTTTCTATACATCAATAGCAGGATGACATGGATATCAATTTATATTTATTGTTGATCGTATTTATCTATTTATCTTATGGTATCATCTAAATACAATACACATGCCTCTGAAATGTCGTATTTTTATCAATGGATTATAAATTGAAGTTTCTCGCTGTCTTACATGTCTTTTCAGTCCCTCTATTCTTTAACTAGAATGACAGATATACATTTAACATTTAAAATTTGAACTGAGTTTAGTATATTTTGTACTATCCGCAACACCATGCTGTCCCAGTCAGACAACCAAACACGCCTCTAATTCTGAAGAGTTCACTAATGGAAATAAAACGTATTGACAAAATAATTAGCTGCAAGAATTTTTTTTAGTTGATTTAGACTGTGGATTATCCTAACAATATATTGTAAACAAGAGTGATAAAAGCTTCAGAATTTAGGATAAATTTTTTAGATATTTTTCACTTGAATTAACGATCTCTGTTGAAGGGCATTTTGCTGAATTTTTTTAGGATGCCACTTGGATAGCCTTTGACAAAAGTCTTAAATGCACATGTCCTAGTGATGTGTATTTACTTCTGAAAAGTTCAGAGTTCATAACCCATGACCTCACTCAACCGTAAGTTACATGCTCTTGATGTACAAATTACATGTATCAGTCTGTAAGGAGGTAGTAGAGGCAACACTCACTGTGAAAGGTTTTCTTTTTAATTCTTCATAGCTGCGTTTTTTCAAGTACAGCAAATATGAGAATAATTATTTGGTGTCCTAGATTTATGAACTTAATAATATAGCAGGCAATGCAAGCTCTGAATGTGTGCTTCTTAGTGGCACTTTTTTGGCAAATTTTGATAACAGAGTTATTTCCCAGTGATCACATATGTTAGAAATTGCATTAAGTAGCTGACGAAATTGTACTTATGTTTTTGGACATTGATTTGCTAAAACTTTAGATATTTTATTACATGTAGCTTGCTGCAATAATATGAATTGTAGCCCTCATCAAATTTTTAATCTGATATCTAAAAAAAAAATGGGGGGGGGGGCTATTTGATAGCTACAATGCATTGTACATGTATAAATATGATATAAAATTTTATGCATAGTTTGAATTTCTTTCAAGGTTCATACATTGTGAAGACTTTGATGAGAGTGGTGATCAAGCCAATGTAGGATACAGCTTAATATTGAGGAAATGGCAGGACCTAAACCCAGGATATGAATTCAGGTGTTTTGTACGGAATAACAAGCTAATAGGTAAGAATTTTACGTGATTTTTTTCTTTAATTTCTTTTGTCCTAAAACATAAAGATTGATAGTAAGAAATGTTAATTTAATTTCAAAAGTATTTTAAAATCTCCGAAAAAATTATGGACGAACTGAAATATGGTAATAAAACAAAAAAGTTATTGTATTTATTCATTTTTCCTGTAAAGTGACTTGAAATTTATGATTTTGCTGTAAATACTTTGCATATACATTTTCAGCAATTTGCCAGAGAAACCACACAGCATACTATGAGTTCATCAGACAGGAAAAAGAGGATATATTATCAGACATACAGTCATTCTTTTATCACTTGGTCAGTTTGAAATTTCCTAATGAAAATTGTAAGTATTTACAACATTTTTTAGAAATGCATATATAATTTTAAAAAATAATAGAAATACATTTTCCTAATTGTTTGCAACTACTGTAAAAGCATTAACTGCTTTAAAGCAACACATGATCTGCTTTAATGCAACACAATTACAGAAACAGAAATATGAATGTACATAGAACAGATATAACACATGTTTTGTGTTGATTTTCTTTGCAGATGTATTTGATGTGTACAGAAGAGATCAGGTGTGTATAACAATATATAAATGGTGCATGTTTTGGAGGGTAATAGTTGAAATTGACACCCCAAGGAAAACCATTGTCAACCGACGCGTCAGCGGAGGTTGACAATGGTTTTCCTTGGGGTGTCAATTTCAACTGTTACCCTCCAAAACAGGCACCATTTATTTTATTATACTGAATATCTTCTTGATTTAGGATGTCAGAAAAAAAATCGTCGATCGTCTTAACGTTCATGTTTAGAAAGCTTTCAAACTCCATGCTACTTCGAAAAAGATTTACTGACCTCTTTATTGTTTATTTGATACTCTAAGAGTCCTTTATCATTTAAAGTTTCGTTATTTCTGCACTCGCAAGCATGTTTCGTCTGTCGTTTGTTGTTTTCAAGTAAGCTACATCGGACGCACGCTTTTACTGACGTCAAGTTTATTCCGTTTTTTTCAAACACACAACTGACGTTTTGAGAATTCTACGGTGAACCGTACGCGCATAATTTCCACGCATGTGACATTACCGTTGTGTTACCCGTTGTCACGTGTGTTGCTAAGGCTGAGAGTAATAGAACGGATTGTTAACTGCGTCTAAACCAATCAGATTTTAGTATTTAACATGAAAGTATAATAATCATAATTAAATCATGTATGAATAAACAAACTGAAAGAATATATACCTATGGTATGATACATTATATGTGTGTAGCAGTTCTGCAACATACTTTTCTACTCCCAAAATTTTTAGAGAGATCAAATCACTAGAAAATATTTAAACTTGCAGTATTTAGAACAATCATTGATTTATTGAATAGCTGAAGAAAACAAAATCATAAATATTCCTTATTAAATTAATAAATATCCACTTAATTTAATTCACCATTGATATAAGTTGGTGGTTGGGGAGTTTGTATTATAGATTTTTATCCCTAGACTGTGTTTATAGGGGAAGCTACTCTTGTTAGACTTCAATCCCTTTGGAGAAGTGACAGATGGATTAATGTTTACATGGGATGAGCTGACGGATAGTGACTCAGAACTCAAAGGCACAGACAACGATACACAGGTAATAATTAATGTATACAGGTATAGAGTCCGAGAAAGAGCCATAGCGCATTTGATAGTCACTTTCGCCTACTCAAGTAGTGATTTTTGAAATATATTGTTTAACCAAAATTTTGTCATACAACATAAGTTTATACATTCCCTCAAGCAAATCACACAAATATAATATTCAAATATTAATAGTTCCCTCATATGATACATATAAGAATCGGTCAGTTTATATGGAGAATATAGTAAATACTGAGGTATCCCCCTAAACAATGAGGAACTGTAGCAAAAGACCACCCTTAACCAGAAAAACAACTTCTGAATAATTTTATATGGTTATGACTGCACTTCATTACATTTAGATAATTTTGGTTAAAGTTGGTCTTCATATTGAAAATGATGAAAATATGTATTTAAGGCTATCTAAATTTAATTCCCTGGTTCTCAGGCCAATTTTCTCCAAAACAGATGCGGGAGGGTGGCATTTTATTTATCATTTTATTGGCAATAAAGTAAATGAGGGAGGTATTTTTTTTAATTTTAATTTCCGAATTTTCTTTAACATAAAGATAATTTTTTTAATCACAGATATACTTTCCATTTCTGGTCAAAATTTCTGCTTTATCCATTGCTTAACAGCGTGTAAACATCGTAGGTAATGTCCTCGAATGTATTTTCAAACGAAGTAGCCGAAATCTCATTGTAAATGGCTACCGGAAGTGAGATTTGAATACTAAACTACGAAACAAATGAGGTCGGAATTTTTTTTTCCCGGATTGGTCTCCGCAATACCAACTTTTTATTTTATCAAAAATACAATAAAATCGGCAATGCGGCTACCTCAAAACGGATGCGCGCGGGCCTGAGAACCAAGATTTCAATTTTATATGGCCTAATTTTTCTTCTCAAAATTATTTTAAGATTCAACAATCTGTCTTAAATTTGCCCATTTGATTATAATGACTTTGTGGCGTAGTGGTATGATCGCTGGATTGTAGACATAATGATCGTGAGTACGAGTCTCACGGTGTGTATTTTTTATCTATGCTATTTTTTTTTCCTCTATGCATTTTTCCTATGTTTTCTTTTATTATTTTATAATACATTTAAAAATAATGTAAGAGATATATAATACAACATTACACCTTGAAACTATCTTGGGAAAAAACAGTCCAAAACTATTTTAATGACCCGAAGTCATAGCTGCTATCTTGTTTTATTTTTAAAATTTTCTAAAAATCTTGTTTCGAATAAGAGTATTGAACAAGTAAAATGATTGTCATATAACAAAGTTGTAACTATGAAAATATAACACTGGTCCTAATATGATTGCATACACGTAGGTTGATCTTGAATTGAAAAGGTACATGTATCTATAAATAGAAACAGGTGATTTCCTTTTAAATACTTGAGTCAGCCGTATCGTCGGTAACGCAGCTATGGCTCTTTGAATAGGAAATTATCTTGATGCTATTCAGACATTCAAATACACAACATGTCCTTACACATTACAAAAGAAATAGAAATAAAAAGTTAAGATTTGCCCATTTATTTAAACATTCGATAACAAAAATAATTTAGATATGTCGATCAAAATAAGTCCTCATGGATGAATCTGAAATATAAAAAAATTAAATGCATATAATAATTATTATAATAGCTATAATTTTCACTGCAAGTAAATAGAATGGAAATGGTATTGTGGCTCGTGTGAATTGTTACCTGGACAAATCAGTATATCCTCCACTGAGTGTTAATCCACCACTGAACCTCTTAAAATGTTCCAAAGACTTGTGTTCAGGACCCAGTTGCCTTCATCGCTGTAATATATAGATATATTTATCCTTTTAAGGTGAATTATTCAGAAATAAGCAGCATTATTCAATGAACATGGTGTTATAAATAGCAATTCTACTGCTGGCATAATGGAAAATATGCCAGGAGAACTGTCAATGCTATACATGTGCATAATGTCATGTTCATTAAACAATCGTTGTTTATATACAATGTACATGTACTGATATTTGTATTATGTGGACTTGTCTAGAACATCAGAGGCATAAGGGCACATAAGGGCACAGCTGCTTGTCTCCAGTGAAAAAAAAGAAGACAATAAAACCGGTAGACATGATTAATCCACATTTTCTCCAATAGATCACAAATTACATACATGTATAATTACATATGGTCTTTGCTTCTCGACCAGAGTTTTCTGCATACATTTTACCAAGTTGTTTTCAAATTCTTGTATATTTTGTTTTGATGCAAATCTAACATCATTGTACAAAGTAAAAGAAACCTTCTGGGAAAAATTGATAGTACGGTACAAAAAGAGTTCTTTTAAATTGATTTCATTGTAAGAATTTTTTATTACTTTTTTAAGTTCCTAAAATTCATTTTACGAGCTGTAAAGCACCCTACCATGAAGACTCATAGTTCTTTGCAAAAGAAATGCCTTAATATGAACAGAAAAATTGAGATAATGTAGCATTTCTTTTCAAAATACATTGACAAAAATTTATTTTTTAAAAATATAAATGAGCAATTTTTATCGTTTTGGAATCTGTTTTCTTCCCGACAGTAAGAACATTAAGATCATAAACCAGAAGTCTCTGATGAGACTGTAGCTCTACTGGTGTCTACTTATAACGAAGGAGAAGAGTAGCATTTGAACTTGAAACTTTGCAACAGCAATAAATGAAAAAAAATGGTGATTGGTTTTAGCCATTTTCTTGGCATAATTTATTGAAATCAGACCAAAACTGTCTGAGTAGCATTTTGAAAATATTTCAAAGAAATTCCTAGCTTTAGAAAACATGGCAACACCATTTATCCAATAAAAAAATTGATATACAGAATTATGTATCTGTAATAGTGAATTCTACTTGTGTGCCAAGTTACATTGAAATCAGACGAAAACTGTAGAAAGAGTAGTACATGTACATGTATTTTGAAAATATTTCATAGAAATTTCTATTTTTATTAACCGTGGCAACACCGGTCATTGAAATAAAATAAAAAAACGATATACAAATGTATGCTTCTTAGTGTAGTATACTTGACAATGTGTGCATTATGATTGCCACCCCTCCAAAAAGTTACAATGGTAAACTATAGTAAATACATGTACTTTGACAATTTAAGGACTATGGAAGTTTGGTATAGAACCTTCCTGAAGAATTAGAGGTTTTTTTTTAAAATAACAAACCTACTGATATATATTTTTGACAACTGGTCAAATCCATTATACACCACTTGTCTTGATCGGGAATTAACAGAAAAACTCATCAACAATTAAATGTGTAAATTAAGCTCTAACAATTTAGAATAAAAAACGTCATTTATTTTAGCATTTGACTTAATGATAAATTGTATTTGCCAACAATTTCATACTAAATTGACGTTGATATACTAAATAAAAAAACTTTTGATCTACTATAGATAAAACTTAATAATCAATAACAACAAGTTTCAAAAATAATTTTCAAAAATCACAGATTTTTAAAAGATTTATCATAATCTTCTTTTTGCTATAACTCCAAATTGATTTCGACATCCCAAGTCAAAATGTTTAGACGTCATTGCCTATAATAGTACCTTCTCAGGGAAATAGTTTTATGGCATATATTAATTTTTATAGAGGAACATTTGAGGTGTATTAATTATTAAATATATAATTTATTGTAGTTCTTTTTATACGCCCGTCTTAAGACGGGACGTATTATGTTATAGGCTTCATGTCCGTCCGTCCGTCTAGCTGTCCATTCGTGTCCGGCTCATAACTTCAATACTATTAGGCCTAGGATTATCAAACTTTGTCAACTGATACTTCTTGGGTAGACGGTGTGTCGCGCACCAAAAGTAGGTCGCTCTGACCTTTAATAAAGATGCTATGGCCAAATATGGAAAAATCCTGTCCGGCTCATAACTAGAAAACTATTAGACCTAGAGCTATCAAACTTGGCAAAAGTATACATCTTAGGTAGAAGGTGTGTCGCGACCTATTTCAAGGTCACTGTGACCTTTAATTTTAGTGAAATTTTTTAAAAAACTAAGTTTTTTAAATTTTAAATTTCATAATCCTAAAAATGTAAAAAATAGAGTTGTATCCTTATTAAAAAGTATTAAATCAAGTAAAAAGTTAACTTATTTTTTCATCATATACTTTACAGCAATCTTAAACAAATTTCAATGTTAATGAGAGGAATTCAGTTTGTCCCATGGGCATAATTATCAAGCACTGGTCAGGAAGAATTTTGATAGCAAAAAGAGTTGCATGTCAAATTAGAGAGAAATTAATGAGTTTAGTGTGAGGAGGTAACTAGTAGAGCATTGGTGTTATCCCTTGGGTATTGGGCAAATGGACAGCCAGCCTAGCTGTTAGATTAAAAATAGCTCTTGTTGGCTAGCTAAGTTTTAAAATGAATTTGATGAATAGTAATTAAAACTTATTTGATATTGCATAATAAACTAATAATCTGATATTATATAATATTAATTAATTAAAAACTAATTTTATGGGGTGGGGTTGAATCAGCATGCCTACTTGACCATATGAACTAAATATAAAACCTGTCTGGCATTAAATCTAAAAAGAAATCATGGAGTATTTTATATGTTTTAAAAGTGTTTTAGGATAAAAAGTGCAGATCCATTAATATTTAGGGAGTAATGAGTAGACAAGCATCCAGTCAAAGATTAATTAATGAGTTCAATGTACGAAGGCTATCTGATCAAGCTCTGCCTTATCTGTATCCTTTGGGGATTAGACAGAAGAACTGCTGGTCAGTCTATAGAATATGTCATTTGATGGCCAGCCTTTCTTTTCAAAATTAATTTGGCATAGATTAAGTTGTTAAGACTAATTTGATATTGTTTATTATGATGGCCGGCATTTGACAAAGTCTAACACAAACAGTTGTATAGAAATCTGTCAGTTATGTAATATTTGTTATAATTATGCCTACAGCACAGGGGATGGATAAAGAAATATTTTTCTTAAAAATGGAAAAATCATGGAAATCTTAGAATCAAGGTCGAAGTGATTTTCTTGCAGTCTAAACTGTTAAAGATAATTGTGTAATATTTTGACGGGCGTATCATGCTGTGGCGTGGCACTTTATTTTTTGTTAGGGTAACCTATTAGTACTCCGATATTTAAGCTTTTCCTTTTATTTCAGTAATTATGAACTTTCATGAAAGAACATTTTCTCCGATGCAGGTGACCTTTCTATATATGAGAGGACATCCACGCTCTCAAAACAATTTGAGTAATCAAAGAAAAACTCAGTTTGAAGAAAGAAATTAAGAAAATACTGCTTCTTTGGTGGAAAATAGGATTTTAAATTTCTCTTTAATTAATTTACAAAGAGAACCAAAATATAAACATGTTTGAACTCTACTCACACTGGAAGAACTTCGATTTCGTCATCTGCTGTAGCAAGTGAAATACTAAGTATCAGAACAATAACTAGCAGTAGGGCGTTCAACATGGCTGCCATTATATCGGATACCTTGGAAATAGAGAGGAGAAAGAAATTAAAGTAAATGATTTTTAAAATTAATTTTATGAATTTATTAGAACTTAAGATAAAGTTGTGAGATTCGTTTTTTCTTTTGAAATTTTTTCCCCATTCGGCATTGATGTTTTTTTTTATATAAATACTGAATGTCTTTTGTTACACACTGGATAGTTCTGTTACATGTATAATTCGAATTTATACACTGTATTTACAAAATGGTAATGACAAAATGATCACGATGAAGCTTTAAAGGGGCATAGACACAGTTTCAGCTAAACCTTTTCATTTTTTTCCCCCATTTTTACAAATATTTATTTGAGGTCTTTGTAATGATCATCAAAAATTTGAACTTCAGCTGTCGAGATACAAGACAGATTTAGAGCTCTAAACCTTTGTTTTTGTAAACAGGGTCCGTGTCATATTTTGTTTACATGGATTAATATACTAATATACAGCTCAACGTACTTTTTAAACTCACATGGGTTTTTTGCACAAATTAAGGTCACATTTTTCTTGCAATAAAACGTAAGATTATCGAGCTTCACTACTAGACATAACACTCATATTAATAATTATTTCATGATACTGGTGCATATTCTCTAAAATCATTATCTTAAGCGTTAAAACTCGATGATTTTAAAGGGAATTTGTTTGTACACATGCATGATGTTACATGTGTATGTTTCTACCATAGGTATTCACAAATTAATCATTCGGGCTTTTCTTGATACTATTTAGTTGAAATGCTCAAATTGACGTCTTACAGATTAGTATTTTACTAAATCAATGCACATTTTCCATATTTGTTTTGGTTTTGTCGAAATGCATCTCTAAAAAATGACAAAACTGCATAAAGAAATCATGTCAAAGGATAGAATAATAAAGTATTGTTTGTCTTTCAACATAGTAAATTGTAACTATTGAAAAGAAAATTCTTTTACATTTATGGTCTGAAACTTTGAAAGTTTTCGTTGAAAGGTATCTTTGATGATGCTAGATTTCAGAAAGTTAATAAGAAAAATGCCGTCTTTTTAACATGGAAAGCAGTCGAACAGATGAAAAATAATTATATCATCTTGCGCCTTAGTGTCATATAAAGGTACGGAAAATGCAGAAGTAACATGAACTGCAGTGTTTCTGTGTCTATGCAAGGCAAGGGTATGCTTTAAAATGAACGGATGCAAAGACGGCTGCATTTGACGAGAAACTATGAAAAAATCATCTGGGAACTGTCACAATCTATCATCCAAGAACATATAAAAATCCTACCGATATTATGTGTGAATTATGTTAAAAGCATAAGAATAAGATCAAAATGAAGTCTTAATTACTTTTAAAACATATATTGTTTTCACGTTACACAATTTTGCATCAAAAATGTGACCTTAATTTGTGCGAAAAACCATGTGAGTTTAAAACGTGCGTTGAGCTGTATGTTCGTTCAAAGCAGATAATATCAATAAAGAAGTTCATTATTAATACAGTTAGATAGTTTTTAGTTTTTAGCCAAATGTCGTTTTGTTATAAATATGATATTTTCTATATGTAAACAAAAAACAAGGCACGAGACTTATTTACATTTTGAAGAACTTTAAGTTCTGTATCTTGTTAGTTAATCAATAAATGATGTTCAAATTTTTGCTGATCATTAGATGATGCCTTGGTTAGGAATAGTAAGCATTAAAAACTTCAGTTGAAACTATGTCCATGTCCCATTAAATAGATTTTAATTAAAAAATTATTTCTTTTAAAAGCTCTCTGTCACTGCTGGTAAAAACCATAATTTCAGTAATGAATTTATCAAATAAAGCAAAGAAAAAGACTGATTTCTGAAATATTTTCTTCTCGTAATGAAAGATTTGATAGGGTGATTGACTTTTTCAATTACTCGTATATAATATAAGCATTTATATAGATAATAAAAAAAATTGGTTTAAATATTATTTAATGATGGGGAAAAAAAGCATAGGTACTTACTCGTGAAGACAATTTCTTCAATTTGTGATTTTTTAATAAAATGATTCTGTTTTTATAGCAATTTTCCACCACCACCAATGAATAAGATGACATGAATTTAAGGAAATGTTCCTTAAGAAAAAAAACCCACACCTTTTACAAATGATGACCCCAAAAGATATTAATTATCTTTTCTAAGTAAATGTGAAACTTTAGTGCTTAAAAGTTGTCATTACGTGACGTTCTGGAGACACCATGACACTTATTAAAATTCATTATTAGAATTCATTATTATAACAAAATTTCTAAGAAAATTGAAAATTATCTGTTTATATTGTCATTAATATACTTCATTTGATAAAGAATTGCACGTGTTTTTTTTAACATCTCTTTTTAACATTTGATTATTATATATCTTTTAAAAAAACACACATTTAAAAAAAATAGTTTAAAGGGATGGCAATTCAATTCATTTTAAATTTCTATTTTACAATAAATAAAAGAATATACATGTATAAAATTAATTCATAAAGAGAGAAAGAAAGAAAGAAAAAGACTACATAAATTAAAAAATAAATAGAATCATTTCAAAGTAAAAAAAAAAAAAGATTAATAATTGTCTAAAATGAGCAAAAATAAATAACTAATGAATAATTTAAAAAGCTAGATTTAATGAAATTATGAAATAAAAAAGAAAATAAAGAAATTTCTATAGATTTTATTCTATATATATCATTTTACAAAGAATGTCGTGAATTTGTGCATTTAACAAATAAATTCACACGACGTTACTTCCCATATTAGGAAGCATCACTCCCTTGTTATTGTACATAATTATTATCGTCTTAAAATTCATGAGTCTTTTCTATTGTTAGCAATTGCAATGGATCGACACTTATTTTCAAGCTCCTATTTTGTATTGTTTTATGGACTTTTGATCTTGTATACTGTTCTTTATCTTCATATGTTTCATTGCTAGAGAAAAAATACATCGACGTTATATGTGACGTAGCTATGTGAGTAAAAAAGACTAGAAAAGGAAGTAAAACAAAATACAAAATTAATAATCATAATCATGCACTCTAAATTTTTCATATCCGAATGTTTTAAGTATCGTTATATAAGCATATATTCTAACGTTAGCGAGGATTTAATTTTGGCATTTGTACCAATGTTCTAGAGATCGCTTAAACAAAATATGAGGATATCTGCGTTTGGGATTTATCTTCACTCTTTAAAAAATTCTGATGAATTTGTTTTACTTTTTCATAATTTTTTTTCCTACCATAATGGATTTTCGTCTTAAATTCATCTACCAATGTGAAAACAAGAAAAACTGTACTCTTTTAACCCATGTTATTTTCTTAACTCTCGTTTATTTAGAAAGCATGGGATTATTTTGCATGGTGATGACAATCGGGTCATTTCGATCATAGAAAATTATTTCAAAATCATTGCTATGGAAACCAAGGGAATGCCGTCTAAAATTTACAAACCAATAGTCTCTATACAGAACACTGTTTGATATTATAGTGATCAAATAAAATTCCATGGTACACATGTACTGGGTGACCAAGCATTTTTGCTCCTTACAGAGAATTGGTGTCAACATGCTAACAACCCTGAAATTCCTTTTAATTTCTAGCATCCAGTGTTCAGGTACAAAAACTCCGGGGGTATTCAGCCTAACCCTCTTTCAACATTCGGGGTCCCCAGAGACATTCTAGACTTGGCCACAGGAACAGATGCCAGCAAACTTGTAGACCTCCTGAAACTTGTGAGTTAACCTACGAAAAAAAAAATTTGATATGAATCGCAAAATGAGTTGATCCTTGTTAACACCACCCATGCCAAACTAAATGTAGTTGCAATGTACAGGATCAGAGCTTAAATACATTAATGTTGGTTTAAATGAGTATTACATGAAACGTAGAAGTGCACCTTAATTATATAAACACGATTTGTGAACAAAGTAGTCAAACAGATGTCGCTATGCTTCCTTTCCTCCATAGTATTATAAACAAAAATGTTCATAATTTAAACTTTCTTGTTTTTTTTTTTTAAAAAACAGAGACAACAGCAGCAAGAAGATTCTTCATCTGAGGAAGAAACAGAAAACCAACAGACATGATATTCTCTCTATATAAGGTTGAAAAATTTACAGTGCCAAATTCTCCATGAATACAATATATTCAGATTGTGTTACATTGACAGAGGTTCACACTCTTCCTACATGTACGTGTAAATATTTCCTCTGGCAGCATTTTTTTTCTTTACGTAGAGACTTCAAATTTCAAGCAAGTTGAAGGTGCAGTATGTACGATCATAGATTAATGCTTCATGATGATCATTTTCAGATACAATATTTTCACTTGATATTCACAACTTGTTTTTACACAATGTTTTCGTTGAATGTCATTCTTGTATTTTGTTATAATTTTGTACAAGGCTGAAAGATAATGTTTCATTTAAACATATTCACAAAAACATTTTTTATACTTTGAAATTTTTCTAAGATTTTTTTTTGTACAAGGCTGAAAGATAATGTTTCATTTAAACATATTCACAAAAACATTTTTTATACTTTGAAACTTTGAAAGATTTATTAACTTTGAAATCTAAGTTTAAAATAGTCAATACAGTTTGAGAAATATTAATTTTCTGAGCTCTCCATGTCCTTGTATTTTTAGAATTTTTTTCAAAATCAATATCTATTGTATTTGTAAATGAAATTTAATAAATGAATATATATCATAGACTTATATTAATAGTTTTTTATCTTTGACCAATCTTAGAGAAAGCTCTTGAATGAATTTTTATAGTCAATTTTTTTTTCTCTGAGACAAGCTTGGATATTGTAGGGCCAAAAGAATACAGACATTTCAACCCGTACACAGTAAAAAGAAAAAGTTATACCCTTACTTATAATAAACTTACTAATGATCAGGCTTCGGGGCCACCAACATAGAAAATCGTCAGTGATTGTGGCCTTATAGTCAGATGTCTTTTGCATTTGAGAAAGAAGTGTCCTCATTTCTAAAGGAAAGCACCTGGTTATCACATTTATTGCTGAATCCCAGCGTGGTGCCTATATATAACAGCCACGTTTTGTCTCTGCATAGATTTATATCAAGGACTAGCGCTTTTTACAAATGTTCTAAAATAATCGCGCTAAAGAATTAATACATTATCCCAAGATAGTAAGAATTCTTGTAGCACAATAAATTCTAAAATAACGTAAGCTAGTGACAAATAAGTTTGATTAAACAGGGATATTCACAGTCTTGTTTGATATGAGTTGCAAATCAATTGGCAAGTTTTATGGTTGATACAATGACCTCGTCAGCAAGTACAGTCAGCTACACTTTAGTCAAATACTGACTGACGTTTTTCATACTAAATGTTAGACCAATATTTACAAACTAAATTGTCTAAGAATTTTACTATCGATCATTACAAGGAGAATACGACAGGTGTGACTGATCAGCAGGGGATGCTTACTTATCCACTACACCTGATCCCACTTCTGTGCTTTTGAAGGTTTGCTTTTGATTTATATTGTTTAAACGGACCTTAATCTTGCACACTGTTCGTTATCTCCCTAATTAAAATAAAAATACTACGTTTCTGTACCGCATGCGACCGCACCTGCTGTCGGGATAAAAGAAGTAAAGAATATCACCAACGTATTAAAACGTATATATCATTCTCAGTTCATCTTCGAATTCTGTAACTAAATACAAAACATGGCTTTGAAGGAAAATATAGCTCATTGTATGTGGTAAAGTGATGGATGTTGTGTGATGTTTACTACCCATTAAAATCTATTAACGATAAATTTGGTGTTAATCGTCAAATTTTCAATCACCGATGATATTACTACAGGCACTCTAATGATGCAGATTATTACATTATGTGATATTAATGTCAAATAAGGATGCTATAATAAGAAAAACGCTCACATTAACTATAAAAGTACAAAATATTATCGTTATCATTTATTAATGTGAGAAAAGTTAATCTAGCTATATAACTGTTTATCACGGGCGAATTTCAAGCCACGAAATTGATAGTGATGAATATTGAAGTAAAATATTGAATAATGGTGTTACCCTTGTATATCTAAAGTTTGCTGATTTGAATTCGAAGTTAATGGATCTAAATATACATTGTATTAACAAAATTCTGTAGATCTGTACGCTCGCCATTCATTATCCACTGAAACGCAAAAGAAACGCAACATCTTATTTTAGGGGGGAAATGATTATATATAGTTAAAAAAAAGTATCTAAAAAGTATGTGTGTTTTCCGTTTTGTAAATATCGGTTATTAAATGGTTTCATACCATTCCAGAAGTTAAGTTGGAGACTGCTTAACAAAAATTGCATGTCTTAAATGCCTCTGCTCCAAATTTCACCTATTTTTAAACTCCGAACATTGATTTTCATCAAGAACAATAGCATTAGATTCAGACGGAAAATAGTTCGAAGTAAGAAGCGTTGCTTACTTTTTCATAAATGAATACCGGTATTATGTCTAATCATGCTGTGAAGAAAAATTGATATGGTAATTAGAAAAAGCAATAATTTTTTATCTGGCAATAAAATCAAAAGTATGAGGTATATTTAGAAAAAATGTTTAATGTCATACCTATCTAATTCTGATCAGAAAAAGTATTGAAGCGTTGCCTTTTAAATCAGAAGATCAAATTGTTTTCTGTGGTTGTAAAATAATTTATGCATTCATCAACAAGAATTATCTTTCCATTTTCGCCTTTGAAAATATATTAATGAAACAAAATATTAATTAAATGTTACTGAACAATTCTGCATCTGAAATTTCTGACACAATTAAAACACATACGTTTAAAGATCTATAGAAAGATTTCAATTTTCACAGCTTAAAGGAATTTAGTATTATAAATGTTTAAGGTAAAATATTATAGATAATTAATGAAAATATTGGCCGTAAAAGCTAGAAATCAACATCTGTTCCATAGATTAGATTTATTTGAGTTGACTACAAAAATGTTCCTCACTAAAGAACTCTGCACCTTCTGACAAGTCAATCCATTGAATTTCACGGCAAAAATGTCTTCAGAGAGTTATCTATCTATTTGTTAAGGGATATTACACCTTAACAAAACATTTGGAAATATTATGGAGGTTCAAGGGTTTGTAACTTCATCATAAGCAAAGCAGCAATATTACGAAAAATAGATTCTCATTTCGTTTCCCATAGGGATGCAAAAGCTTCCTGCAAATGACTTTAGTACGTATTTCCATTGCTCAAGGTGGAAAATTTCAAAATAAAGATGATGGGGGTTTACTGATGAAATCATACTTCTCATACATGTATATTCACACTCTTGAGTCATGAATTGTTGTAAATTTTGAGTTTACCGGTTGGCTGTATATTCTAAATTTACAAGATGACACTTGTCTGACTCTAAGTTAGACGAGAGTGTTGATGTCATATACATGTACATTGTATTAGAATTTATATAGTTAAGCTTTTTAAAAATAAATGTAAGAATACTTATTGTTTTGAGTATTCACACACGAACTAAAGAATCAAAGATGTTAAAGTTGTAAAAGAATTTTTCTGTAATTATTGAATGAATTATGCAGCAGCTTTTTATGAAAATCGGGTTCAGTGGAGGAAACAAAGACCTGTAAATTGACATGGATTAGTGGTCAATTAGCGCCATTTACGTACATCTTTGGAATGTAAAACTCTCACATAATGAAATCGATAACTTGCTCCTACATCCATAAAGCATACAGTTAATTTTCTACAATATACTTGTTATTGACATTGGGATTGTTTTGTAAATAATTACGACATTTTTTGTGTGAAACGGGCCGCAGTGGGGATAGTGGGTAGAATTACATGTGATCGTCTGCTATATATTCATTAACTCGACCTTGAACTGTGAGATGATAAACTGTATTGAAAATGAGTTCCAATGAGAATATATATTAAATTTTCTGAGAAGTAATCAGACATGGACTGAAGCAACATGTATAGTAGCTAGTGTATTGTACTTTCAAATTATGCATAATTTAATGTCGAAATACTGGTATATTCTCAATATTTTGCTTACAGTTTAAGGAAGAACTCATAATAGATGTAGATTGTAGATTAGAAAATGGATTTAATTTACATGTAAAGTCATCAATAATGTTATTGTTACATTTATCTCTGTAAGAAGAATCTTTACAAATACTATATTAATAGTTCTGTCCCAACCCAACCCTTTCCAAAAATATTCTCAGAAGTGTTATACATTGTAGGATTTATTTTTCCTTCGTCTGTAAAAACTGTAGCAGTTAAAAAGTAGAAATATCTTCAATTTAATGCATCAATATTGCTTGAACATTCCTAAAATTCGAATATTATCTTTTTAACATACACATATGAACCCTCTTTCCTATTTAAGGGGGCCAACTGGGGTTTTATTGTGTGAAAACTACAATAGCGAAACTCTAGATCTTCATTTTTATACCATATATGACTTACTTTAACTTTAGTGTACATGCAAAGTTTGGGGGAAATCTACCGTCCAGGTATTTTTGAGGGACCGTCTCAAAATACAGGTACATTTACTATAGGATTATATAGGAAAGTGCCAATTTATGGCACTTTAAAGCAAATTATACAAATACTACAATAGACTTTTTGTTCAAACTATTATATTTTATGAATAATACTATATTATACAATATATGTAAGAAACACAAAATTCTACCGTCCTGTTACCAGAATGTTACCAGAATGTTACCTTGTTACTAGAATCAAAATGCCAAACATTAACGAATATTCCTGTTTTTATAGAGTTCTATAAAATATGACGGGCAAAGGGGATTCATATGAAAACATAATAAAAATAATGGACATAGTCTCAAATTTCTATATCTTAAATTTCAAGAGCGTATGTTTATTACTTATTCTTTAATAACATTTTATTACCCCTTTCTTAAAGAGTTTATCATAACGTCAAAAACACACTGCAACGATGTCAACCTATCTATGAATTGCAAAATCGGTTAAAAATCAGTTATATAAAATTGTAATTACAATTTTATACCTTTAATTTCTTAATTTTGTTTAATTCAAATAATTAAGCTTTAAAACAGTAAATACGCTTCATTTTACTATGATGCACGAAATATTGCGCAATGGAAACCACAGTCGACCCAAGCGCCAGACAGCTCAGTATTACGTTACGCTACAACTCTATATCGTAGGGCACGAAAGTAGACCCGGAGAATTGACACTGTATGGAGTTTGCAGTCGACCCCCTTAAAAATTAAGAATAATGCATGTTTCTTAAAAGTGCAAGGGTATATGCCAATCACAGGCTAGCTTAAATTCTTGGTTTTAAAAAAATCAAATAAAAGACATTTGTATATTAGATGCCTATTGTTTAGAACTGACCATTATAGAAGAAGAGCGAACAGT